AAAGTGTGGAACCTGTGGCAGAAAACGTCATCCTGGCTTATATGTTGGAAAGAACCAGCTAAAATCATCAGCCAGTTTATGGTGCGAGTATTCTATGTTGAAAACAACGTTGAACTACAAGAATGCTGTCAACATCTCGAAATTTTCAAAACTAGTGGAATTTTTGGAGTGGTTATCGACCAAAGAAGTCACAAGTATTAACAAGAGAAGAAATTTTAAAATTCATACAAAAGACTGCGGATGAAACTTCTCTTTTAATCAAGGTAAGTCTTTTGGTTTTTTATTATTAAAATTAAACTCGATTTTTTGATTTGTTTTAGACAGACGAATTCTGTAAAGTAGAAATGGCTGATGTTACTGACCATGGAAAATACATAATTATAACAATTCTGCACTCCAAAAGTGACGTACGAAAGTTCACAATTGTTGAAAATCTTGTGTTTAACTTTGACAAAAAATTATAACTAATATATAATTAAGAATGAAAATAAAATACCAAATTTCTTATTTACTCTCATTATATTCCTAGGAATGTAAATGACACTATCCATTCCGCAATTCAGAGAAATTAATAAACGAATGTTGTTGATCATTTACATGTTTTGTATCTAAGCATGTACATATATGTATGTTATTTACATTACCGGCAGCGGGAAAAATATATAATCATTAGATTATATATTACGTTTAACTTCGACTGTTTATGTTTATATATCGGAAGAGTTCGACCATTAACCACGTACATATAATAATTAGATGCTAGTTGACCAGAATAAGAGGCATCAGATAAAAATTATGCATTTGTTTTAAACGAAAATGAAATTTGATTGATTTTGTATCCTCAAAACAGAGAGGTCAACAAAGTATTTTTACTTTCTTAGCGTAACCAATGATGGCGTAAGCTAACTATTGTACTAGGTTCCATCGAACGAATGACTCCAAGAGTATGAAAAAATAACTTTCGCGTTTCCGTCTGTCTGTCGTGTGCCTGTCGTCTGTGTCGATTTTCATTTGACCATAATAATCTACGAAAATATCGGACCAATTATCAAATTTTATATATATATAGCACTAACCAAAATTTGTCTAATCATTCCCATCAAAAACTTGATGACGTCCCCTCACCATTTTGTGTAGTTAAGGGTATCTAAATTTTATGAAATAACATATCCTTGTATTTGTATTTATTTTATGAAGTTGCATTGATCGTTTGTTTGTCATTATTATTATAATTTTTATTATTCAATATTTTTCGCAGTAAAGCTGGTCTTTAAATACATAATACCAACTATACAAAATATAGGCCATGGCTCAGTGGCAAGCGCGTTGGTTTTGCATCTTAAGGGTCCTGGGTTTGATTTCCGATATATCCATTTTTCTGTCTTACACTATGACTGTTTACCTGCACTAAATAGCAGTCCATATCTCTAGTTTGTACTATTTTTTTTTATATTAAGATCTCGTTTTTTCTTTAATTACAAAATGTCAAGCAATCTTTCGCGTTCAAAAAATTAGGTAAGTTATCAAACAAGCAGAAACAATCGTAAATTGTGACCGCCGACCGTCTCCGCTCCCCGTTCTGAGTTTGTGGTTTCTTAGAATAATGCGTTTGTGTCGATGCAAAATCGAGTCATGATGTGGGATTTTGTTTCTATAACGATAAAATATCGGTACCGATAAAATGTGGTCGACTTTTTTTTCGCATCTGAAATTTATACTTTCGTCCTTGTCATTTGTCGCTTCGTTTCGTATTGGTAGAAACTAAATCCCACCCCTGGACTGTTTTCTTTGATGTATATGGTTGTTGTGAAACATACCTTTATTTTTTTTTATTTTGAATTGCTCATACAGAATGACTAAAATTTATTGTACTGTTATCTATTGTTTATTATTACATTCCACCTGTCCAAACTGGTAATAAAATTTGGAACAGAAAAATTCAGTTCAAACATGCGAATAGCATGCTTTTTACTTTTGCTTTACTACATAAATATCATTATTTTAATTTATCAGGAAAAAATAAAATTCGTAAAACCAAATTTTCGAAAAAGTCGGATAATTTCTACCGGGTTCTTCAGGGGTGAGGGAAGTTCTGCCAAAATAACCTTCGCCATTTTTTTTTTTGTATTCTAATACATTTTGTTGTCCAGTGTTACTAATTAAACTACAATGAAGTAAAACATTCTGAATATTATTTTGGACAAGTAGCTGTTGGTTAAGATACTTATCCTTTTATTATTATTAAATATAGGCGGATAGTACATTACTGTATTCTCAAATTTTTGACACAATGTGGTGAATCGTTCTTAATTTGATAAAAAACCACCCTTGCGTAGCTTCGTATTACGTGTCTAAAAAAAACAGATTAAACAATAAAAATAATAATACTAATATTAGTAAACATTAGGCTTATTCATAAACTACGAGTATGTTATTTTGTAAAATTTAAATAACATTTTTACTATCAAAATTTTGAAATCAGTCATCACATCGTTGACAAATTTTGGTTAGTGTGTAAACCAAAAACTGAAAAAATCAAAATTTAAAATACAAAAAATTATAAAATCGAAATTTTAAAAAATCTAATAATTGAAAAAAGAAATTTTAAAAAATAAACGAAAACGAAAAACTGAAATTGAAAACTCTAGAAACTTAAAAAAATTTTCGAAATCCAACTAAACACATTTTCTTGTAGATTTCGGGCAGCAGAAGTCACTTCCGGCCTCATTTCTTCGACTACTTCAACTGTTTTTCCAGAACACACTATATTTTTGGAATCAGCACGTCAAGATCCATAACCTTGAATTTTTTGAGAATTTTTAGACGACTTTTCCAAAAATGAAATATTCGACTATGAAACATCGAGAAAACATGAACATATCTATTCGTCGGAATAAACTTCCGTAGTACCAAGAATGTCAGACCAGGAAAGAAAAACTCATTAAAGAATATTAAAAATAATAGGAGTACATGATATTAACGACAAGAAAGGAAAAAGAGTAACAGAGAAAACAAGGATACTGGAAAAAACGAAAGAATACTTGGAGTTAGAGACTAGATAATTTGCCAAAATCAGTGTTATCTTGGCAAATACTAAGCCGCCCACCCACCCTTTATTTTCTTAGAAAGTAAATCAATTGCCAAAATCAGGCTTATCTTCGCTAGTACTTGTTAAGATAAGATTGATTTTGGTAAATGATATATCCTCTAAGAGAAAAAGGGTGGGTGGGCGGGGCTAAAGCTTGCTAAGATAGGACTGAACAATATTAAGAGTAATCATTGGAATGAAGAGGTGGTGGATGGGCGGAGCTATTGCTTGCTTATAAAAGACTCTATAACTAAAGTTAAACTTGGTAAACATCTACACGATATTTCTAACATACCTTTATACGTCTGTACAAAATCGATCCGTTAGTTTCAAAAATTATCTATCTAATCCAAATCGACTCAGACGACAGACAGAACAAAACGGGAGACCCATTTTTTCATATTCTAGGGATTTTTCCAGATATTTGACGGGGTCTATATTTTTACCCTGCGTCATATATATTTGTTTTTCCCTAATTAAAGTAGAATATTTACGGAAACCGTAAATTTTGATTTTGGTAATTCTATTTGTATAAAATAATTTATGTATCTTCGGATTATAAATGCAGATTTTGCTCTCCCCAAACTTGAGATACGAGTACTACATTTTATAATGAAATCCTTATAGGAATATTTTAAATGCATATTTTTATTGTAGAATAGTAACAACTTGTGTTAGTATTGTGTGACTTGGTTAATTTTAAAACTGTGTTGTATCTAGCGGTTTGCTTTTGGTAGTGTAAATGTTCTGTGGAAATGTACTTTCAAATGTGGTCATTCAAGTATTTTAGACATCTCCAGATAAAGATGCACGGAACGGTTAGAATTCTCAATTTTTCAAAGTAAACTTGGCAGTTGTCGCGGTATCCAAGTCCATCTATGACCCTGATGCATTTCCTCAGAAGCGCAAACAATTTTTTACAATGAGGTGAGTGAACCCACATGAGTATGCCATATGGAAGAAACCGTTATTTTGATTTGGCATGACAGTTTCACTTAATTTGTGAAAAGAGTATCATTTTGTCGATTTGCCCAGGAAATAGTTACCGTGATATTTCCATGTGGGACAAAGTGGGATAATACAGGTTGTTTGTGGAAATTATTCTCACGGAGGGAAAATAGTATTCGACGGAAGTCTGTTTGAAGGCACATGTGCTATTTTTGTAAAAGTTTTTTCTGCTATAAATTTATTAAAATATGTAGGTAAGGGTGTGACAGTGACGTTTGTTAGGGTTTTTAATATTCGCATATTGATATCATATGCATTGGTGCAACTGGACTTATTTATGTGTAGAATTGCATCACGTAAGCTGTTTAAATGCAAATCCTTCGGAATTTATAGGAGTTAGATAATTATCAGAGCTTATAGTGTAATCTGAATCATGTTATTACCAAGCTGTCTGGGTTGTGACGATGTCATCAAGACAAATGCATAAATTTTGATGTTTTTCAATCCAGTGACCTATGAAAATTAAAAATGTTGCAGATTTGCCGCTTTTTAGTAATGGTAGACATTGTTAAAGCTTTAAATAATATTATTAATGTGTGATTTGTCACAGTAGTTCTGACATTTGAACTATCTTTCCATGAAGACGGTTATGAGAATGAGTCAATTTGTTTTATTGATTAAATCATTATTTCATTTTTCCAAAAATGTGGGAATACGTGTCCTTGCAAAAATGTTAATGACGTCATCACAAAATTTTGTTAAGCAAAAATCGGGAAAAACTCAGTTGACACACACGCGCAGCACGCTTCTTTATACTAACATATAAGGGTTCTCTTAAGAAAATAGCCTCACGAAAAAAATGTCACAAAATTGTGGATTTCGTGTATTATATACATCAATTAAATCTTTCCATATTTTTAATAAAAGTGAATCTTTATTATTACTTGTTATTGAACCAACTTACATCGTACATAATTTCCAACTGCTGCCTCGTCACCGTCGTCCCATCGTCGAACATCATCACCGAATTCGTGGTCAGCCTAGCCACATGACTCAACCATATCTCGAAAAAGCCTATTTTAATTAATATCAGCTGATCATCCTGTCCCAGGTCGCAGAAACCGGGAACCCTTTTGGCAAATTCCACCACCCTTTGTACGCTGGGCGTGATGTTGGCGGCGAACTGCTGCCACAACCAACACCGCTCCTGCTCGAAGGCTTCGGCGGTGGAGGTGGCCACCTCGCTGTCGGCGGGACTCGCCGGAGGCGGCACCACCGGCTTGCGGACGAGGTTGCGCGTGTGCTCCTCCGTGTAGCCGCAGTTGGCGTGGTGGGCCTGGGACACGGTGAGGATGACGTCGTATACTGCGAGCTGCTTTGTTTCGGTGTCGCTCTGGTCGGCATCGGTGGTCGTGACTCGGGAGGATTCTTCGGTGCTGCGCTCGCGCGACCTCTTGGGTACGCGACCATATCGTACAGCTGGAAGAGAGAAAAATGGTTTGAATATCTGTGATTCGAAAAAAATTAAAACAATTAGCACTACGGCGAGTAATTTTAGTACAGTAAGATCTTGAATTTAAGTTTAATTACTTAACTTTATAAACGAAAACGCTCAGAAATCGTTGTTAACTTGTAAGATGGTTTTGTTAATGTTTAAGGAATATAAAATAGTGATCGAAAAAAATGCTGCATACAGAAAGAATTAGGCTACAGTGATGAAACTTCCGTAAAATATATTTTATTGTTAATGTTTATAACGAATATTTGGACAAAATACAAATCAATTATGTCCTTTGAGAAAAATGTTTGCAAACAGAGAATAGAGTGTGCAATGCAGATGCTGGTCTTATTCTTCTTTCTCTTTCGTAATTACACTTATCATCATAAACAATGAGAGCAGACAAATATCATCGACGGAAAAAAAAAGAGTCTGATGGTCAGGTCAGGTCAGGTCATTACCAAAACGCATTGACGTTCTTGCAAAAAAAATGGTTTTAAATTATTTAGACAAAATTTTCCTCCTTCGTAAAATATAATAAAAAAAATCCAGTTTTTATGTAAACCATGAAAATTGTATGAACAAAATTAATTTTTTTTTTGGAAATGTCAATTTATGCTGTATTATAAATGTTATTTTATAAAAGGTAAGGCTTATATCCATTAAGAAAATCTGAAACCACAAACTAAGGAACATAAATTAATAAATTAGGGGTATATTATTTTGCATATTTTAAAAGATTTAAAACCGTTTTACACCATCAATTATAGCTAGAATTGTGGCAGTAAATTTGTAGACATAATTGTCCATCGTATAATACATGAATTGTCGTTATGGCCCACTTTGTGTTCGTAAAAATAGAACCTGTTCTAATAAAAGTGTTTGAAAATGAAGTTAATTATGTAGGGTGAGAGACTGAGTGACAGAAAAATCACTAAATCTACGCGAAACTTGAAATTTCAAAATGAATCTAATCTCAAGCGCTATGAAAAACAAGTTTTACATTAGTCGAAAATTTTTGTAGTGAGTTTCGTTTAGGAGCCATAATTGTACGATACGAAAATGAATTCCTGGCTTTGAGTTGATATTTTTTGCTACAAAAGTGTCTCTTAATAACAGAAAACGATGTCTGTTATCATTATACAGAAAACTGACCTAACCCCAGTAATGGAACTTTCAGTAAGTTTACATTTGTAACAGAGACAGCGACAGCGTAGGAATTTCAGTGTATTTTGTAGTGTTGGGTTACTGCCAACTTACATGTTAACTGTCAAGAAATCCCAATCTTTCACCGGAACTACTACATAATAATAATAATATGTTATTTGCCAAAATCAGTCGGATCGGATAAAATCTATCACTAAAAAGGAGACGGGGTGGGTGGGCGAAGCTAATTATGTTCTTCTTCCGAATGAGAGTAGAAAATAATAATAGAATCTAAGATGTAAAAAGTAAAAAAAGCGCTAATCGTAACTTTTTTTGTTGTACTAATTGCTATAAAATTTATTTCTTATTTCATGCACTTGACCTGACTTGACCTGACCTGTCTTGACTTCTCTATTGTCTCAAATAAATAAATTTTAAAAATTTCTGTGAATATTTGTATAAAAACCACGAAGTACATTCTTAAAATAATTATATTTTGTGAAACGAACATTAATAATAATTGCCTTTTCTATCTAGGTACAAAATATTTAAGTATAACGAGCTATTTTGAGTAAACTGTAAAAACTGCTACATTTCAATTCGCGATTTTGGAAAAACGGTATGAATTTCCGAAGAAACGAAGCCAAGAATGACTTTTGGATATTGAAATTTGCAAGAAAATGTCTTCAACTAATTTTCGGAAATAATTGCAAAATTATCGAAAACGTCAAAAATGCCAAAATCAGTGTTACCTTATCAAGTACTAAATGGTTATGGAAACATCCAGATTTTTGGAAAAGAAATCAAAATAATCTTTTTTAAGGTTATTGTACGCATGGTAAATTTTTAATCAAAATCGATGTTAATCTCACCCAAAAATTGATGACGTCATTTCAGAATTTTCCCGAACAAATTCTGTTTAAAATGTGCAAAATATGATAGGTTGGGATTTAGCACTGCATTCATATTTTTTAGAACTGTTTATACAGGGTGACTCAAAAAAATTATTGAATGGGTAAGTTTATTTTTTGATTAAATTACGAACTCTATTTTCTCGAAAATTTGGGAGTACAATGCTGTTATTACTAGTATTACGTTGCACCGGTTCAAATTGACATACGTGTCCTTTTTCATTATAAAATTTGGTAATGGAACATACACTAAAAAATCAAGCAAAAAAGGAACAATTAAAAAATTATCTATCAGTTGAAAATGATTGCAAATCCATGCTTCTCTACCTTTATTTTAAGATTACATAAATAACTTTATTTTAACTTAGGTGTTATCATAAACAAAATAAAATTCTCAAAATTAAATCTTATAATTTTTGAAGAAGCTGGAAAGAGGACAGGAAGTTTTGTCTAAATAACTTTAGAATAATTTTTTTTTTTACTTTCCGAACGAAAGCTAAGGAAGTACTGTAATAGTCTCCGTAGGACGAATGGCTGCAATATAGTTTCTCGATGTTCCATGACTCCTAGAGTACGAAAAAATAAATCACCTGTTTTCATTTGTGTGCCTGTCGTCTTTTTGTGTCAATTTTTATTGGACATATAATCACCGAAACTGCTGGACCAATTATTGTCAAATTTCACATGTGTTTTAGGAATATCATGTAGATGGTGGAACTCTAAGTAGAATTTGTCTAATCATCCCCCTAAACACTGTACTGTACTTGTGGTTAATGATTCCGCTTTGAGTTTTCCCCTAGGCATCCAGATTTACGCAAAAAAATCCAAATTGAATAATAACGTTTTATGCTTTTTAATAATAATGTAACCGAAGCGATTTTACGAAGATTACTTTAACAGCATTTTTTTTTGTTTTCACACTGTAACTGGTATATCTATATTTTTATTTATTATAATCGAGTCCAGAAAAAAAGTCTCCCGTTTCAGTCCATTTGTCTGTTTAGCTGGCACCTGTTATTTTGAACTTAACGGTACGGAAGTAAATTTGGATTGAGGAAATTCAACTACTACACCTCACTAGAATGTTTTAGTATTCAATTCGTATAGAAAACATACACGGAGAGAAACCACATGCAGAGAAAATGTTGTAGAATATCTATTGCTGTTCATTTCCATATAATTTTTTTTTTCTTCCTTGTAAACTTTCTAAATGTAAACGCTGTCTCTAGGAAACAATCGGCTACGGTATTCAGTACTTCGTATAGAGTTTGTTGAGACCAAGGTTGCTTTAGGACTCCTAGATACATAACATCGTAATTCAAATTGGCTTTCGAAAATCTGTCACTGTGAATTTAATAAGAATTTGCTATTTCCTGGATGTATGTAGCAAATCTATCGTGCAGCCTGAATTATTGGTTGCCTATCTAATAATCTATGTTTTGAATAGCTACTGTCCTTATTTTTCGTTATTTGGATATTGTAAATTTTTATTTTTAATAGCTAGTGCATATTATTTCTCAGTTGTGTTTTCATCGTAATTTCTTGGTTGTTGACATGGTAAGCAACAAGTAATTTTACCATGAATAATAAAGTAATAAGTTAAATTGTGTTCGTCAATATTCTGGATAAATAGATAATTTTACAGATTATAATGCGAGTAAATATTTGGGAATATGTTGCTATAACCATATCGAAAATAATACAAATACAAAAAGAAAACATGTCATTTTCCTTCGAAGGAGAAAAACAATACAAACGAATTGGCCGTATTGAATAAAAAAAGTTGTTTATTTTTTGTTTGCAGATCCACAAACACGCAATCTATATAAAAGTGTAAAAAAATTACTAGAAATGAGGCATAAAATTTTATAAAGCGTGTTTTCAACACGATAGACGACTTTCTTTGAAGTAGTCGAGAGCTCTTTGTAGGTAAATGTAAGATAAAAAAGCAAATACCTACAGAAATAGCTATAAAAATATTACAATATATGGAAAAGTTTAGCATCTTAATGTTTTGGAATAAACAAGTATAATCGGTCTACATACACTGAAATATTCCGTATTTTGTACGTTCAAAAGCTGCCATTTTGTGTGATAATTACGTATATATCAGGTGTTGAACTGAAAAAGTCATCAAGTTGACCCTGATTTTTGTAACCATTTCATGGATGTCTATAGTAAAACTAAAATTTAATCGATAACAGCTGACTACGCAGAATGGTACAACGTAACCTCACTTGTTCCTATAATAAAAGTAATTCTATCAACAATTTTATCAAATGTCAACGGGAATCGACAATGGATATTTTCCGGCAGTAATGTTTCATTCCAAATGAACATTCTCCCTACACAGTAATATAGTAATTAATTTAAAATAAAATAAAATAATTTAATTGCGGAATCAATTCTAATAATATGAGTAATTTTAATATCATATAGTACGCTTATTTAATATTTTTCTGTCATATTTCGAGTAGTAAAATGGCTTATCTTGTGTATTTATACCAGTTTGCTGTAAATTTAATAATTTTCCCGGCGCCTCCACCATATTTGCAATGTCACACTAGTCGAAAAAATTGTGTGTCAAACACACAGTTTATTATTTTTGTGTAGTTGTATCACTAATTTGTCACTCAGATTTGATGACAATGTTACATCTCTGCCCAGATAATATCGTTTTAATACTTACATTTTAAAATACATTTTTAAACTAATCCAAATATTTCTGTACTTAAATGTTTAAAATCAAAGCACTAAACAAGAAAGTACTTGAACAAGTAACTCAATTTACAACCCGGAAGAAAAGTTTTCCAACACTCACTCAGCTACACCGAAGACCGACACACCACTTCCTCAAACCAAAAACTTTGTACTTGCTGTTAAAATTTAGCAGCAGCGCCACACAATGCACGTCCGCTTAAAAC